ACTGAAGGAAGCCATAATCTGCTGAGACAAAGTGTGCAACCATCAGTGAAGCATCTTCTCCTTTTGGCTGGGGTAGAGCATCTTCTTTGACATGCTCCCATTGAACTTTGTGGCAATCATTTGCATAGAATGTTGATTCATCATGAAACCAAACAATAATATGGTGGGTAGTAGATTCTGGAAGGGGGGGAGTCTTCACAGGTAAGGTCATCTTGTTTCCATGTTTGTAGACATAACTCAATGCTTCCCCATGCAGGCAGAAATACATTTTGGCAATAATGGATGACATTGTCATATTCATGACCATCAAAATACTGCCCCCTCTTCTCTTTTTCCACCAATAACCCAATTTCTGAAGCCATTGCTGAGCAGTCCTTATGGAGACTGATTTTTTGAAACCATGGTGATTCCACACAATGGGATCATCAAGATAGTGTACAACATCCAGTGCACAGATATATTTTCCCAAACACTACGGGTGCAACTTGATTTCAGCTGCTAGTTCCTCATCTTCAATGCACAAGATTGCATGGTTTTGCTGATGTAGAGGTAAATTTTTACAATCTTGGATATATGCCTTTGTCCAATGACAGAGGCAGCATGCAAGATATTCACCTCTTTCAAGTTGACATGCAGTTTGCAGGGCTGCCTTGCCCCAGTTTAAAGTGTTATTGAGGTCAGTAAATAGGACAAGGAAGTCCTTCATTGACTGAAGGTATTCTCAAGGAAAGGGTGAGTTTAGGGTCTAGATAGCCTGTCATATCCTTCCTCTTGGGTTTGAGCAGGTTTCAGAGGTCCACTAATGCTTTTTTTGCAGCCTTGATGGTTGGGGGGCAGCACATTTCCCAATGGTGGTCTTGTGCACCCACCTTATCACCATCATCACCATGACTACCCTGATCACTGCCATCACTACTCCAATCACCATCATCACTACTCCAATTACCATCATCACTACTCTGATCACTTTTGACACTATTAGAATTGGTCTCCAAGTCATTATTGGATGTAGCACCTGGACCATGAGTAGTACTGATAGCCTCTGGCCTGGTATAGAGAACAAGATTCCTCCAGGCATATATCACCCATATTTCAACTTATGACAATTGGTACAGTGTGCAACTCACTAGCTATGACTTTCCCACATTATGCAATGCATTCCCACACATGTGCTTAGCACACTCTTCCCGCGCTTGGTTGCACTATGTTGTGCAGCATCCTGGAGCCTTCATCCATCATCCAACCAGTCCTCTGGTGCATCCCTTTTCATTTATTTTCATTATCAGACCATTTCTGGGATTGTATGATATTTTATTTCATCATGGACCCTTACATTACATCATTTACATACTTACAGCGCTCCCTATTCACATCCGAGCCCTGGGAGTGTGCCTAGGCACAGCTTACCTGTTGCCTAGAAAAGTTTTCATAAAGCAACCACCATCAGGTCAGTTAGTCTCTAGAGTGAGAATCTATCTTCAGCCAGCATGCATTAGTCATTGCCCTAGCCCTCAGCATCAGTCCATCAGCATCAGTCTCCATTCAGCAGCCTCAGTTCATGACATCATGCCATCTTTCAGTCTTTACATGTTTGCACACAGCCCACACTCTATTCCCATACTTTGTGCTCCTACATGCTCCACATTCCCATGCATGCGCTTCACCAGAGTTGACCTGGCATCACTTCATGGATATTTGCTTTCTTTGCTTCCCTTGAGGGTCAAACACATCACTTGGCACACTTCGACCAACATCTAGAAAGTTAGAGCCTTTTCTCTCACCCCAGAGTGAGAGCCTTCTTTCTTTCTTTAGCTCTGCAAGCCAGCAGAGTTATTGAACCTTCACTGGGATAGGCTGGTAATAGTTCAGACTCAGACTGAGGTGGATCTGTCAAGTTCTGTTGCCATCATATCCCATGTATGGCAATGAGATCTTCTTCATCAAAGACTTCCTTGCATGAAACTATATATCACAGGCTGCTAGGATCAGCAGCCTCAGGGTGATGATTAGAGCCAAGAAATAGAGCAGACAGCTCATTGTTATCAAAGGTTGGTCCAACATGATCCTCAAACCAGTGCTGCAGCTCAGAAATGACCTCAGCTTCCACAGGTAACATAGAAGACAGGTAAGGCTGCTCATTTTCATTTGTAACAACAGTATTGATAGATATTCTCTATTCCCAAGCAGATGGTCAATGTTTTGCCATGAAGAACAGAACAGAACACTCACACTTTCTTTCTGCAAGTCTCCAGCCTTGTCTCCATCTTGTCTTGCCCTCTTTGACTGACATGCAGCTGCAGCATTGTTGATCTGCACTTCATGACAATGTTTCTGCCTCCCCATGGGTTCGTGACTTGGATCTTTGGCTTGTGCGACAGCAGATGGCAGCACCCAGTGCTGAATTTCTGTTGGACTTTGAGTTTGTTTTTCACATATAATCAACCCTACAGAAAGCTCTCAAAATTCAAAATCTTTTCACGATCACCACATAGTACTGATTTACTCTATGGATAAAGTGCACATTGGCTTTCCCCATATTTTGCATAAGTTACTTTTATGCTTCGTGGCCCTGTTGGATTGATTTTGAATTTTTCAAACTGTCACTCGAATGTAACGCTGGGCACGTGATGTTCGTCGAATTCGCTAACATTGTATGATCGAATAACTTAGCGGACTTATCTAAGCAATGTCTAAGTCCCGAACAGGGTTTTCCGTCATGTGACGACTCCAAAGCGCGCACTATCCAAATTCAAACCCAGATTTACCAGTCCGTCTATCGACGGTTTGCCTCATTAGACGGGCTGGTCACCAGTCTTCGACAGAGATAAATGAGGATTATTTGTTCCTATTTACGCGTCCATAATAACTCTCCGTCATCATGTCAACTATACTTGCGACCCAAGTTCGCAAACACACATCAAAGCCAACGCGTGCGGCAGGCAGATATTGGAAGGGTAAAGCGCCGAAAGGAGCTGCTGAAATTCCATCCGATTCAGATGAAGACGATGAGGAGGTTCAGGAAGAAGGAGATGTGCTCATTGGTGGGGAGCAAGACATTATCGAGGAGGATGAGGACGAGGAAACGACGCTTCCAGTAAAGATAGGACAGGGTAGAGTTGTGAAGGCTATGAATCTCACTCTAAAGGATGTCAATATCTCGAAGGAAGGCAAGGTCATTGTTGCGGGACGAGAAGAGTCCGGACGGACCAAACTGGAGGAAGGTGCGTGCCATAGTATTGGTCTGACTCATTTTCGTGCTTAATGCTGCTATAGATCTCGTGTCGGAAGAGGAGTCGGAGGAAGCACCGGATGAAGAAGAGGATGAAGAGGACGAGAGCGAGGTATGTTTGCTTAGGGCATATACCATTTTTTTGAATTATCTCCAGTCTAGCGAATCTGAGGAAGAAGTTTCAAAGCCATTATTCCGACCTGTTTTTGTTCCGAAGTGCGTTTCAAATACACTTTGTTGAGTCACTTATTCACATTCCTATAGACGAGGTCGGGAGACCATTGTTGAGCGTGATGCCATAGCTCTAGAAGCTGAAGAAGTAGAGAAGCGGAAACAAGAAACTGCTGAAGAACGGAAGAAGCAGAGTCATGACCTTGTCGCAGAAAGTATACGACGAGAACTATTGGAAAGTGCGTTCTTATGCACCCGTCGCGATTGTTATACTCACATAGCTTGAAGAGGAGAAGGAGGAGGTAATACCTGATGTTGATGACACGGACGGTGTAGATCCCACTGGGGAATTCGAGGCTTGGCGGCTGCGAGAGCTTGGGCGAATCAAGAAGGAAAAGGAGGAAGAACTTAGACGTGAAGAGGAAAGAGAAGAGATTGAGCGGAGGCGTGCCCTTCCAGAAGAACAACGTTTGAAGGAAGATCTTGAACGGGCTAACAAGCTACGGGAGGAAAAGCCTAAAGGCCAGCAGAAGTTCCTTCAGAAGTACTGGCATAAGGGTGCTTTCCACCAGGTATGTCACACTTCTTTCATCCGTGTCCTCCCATCATTTTATACGTTAATCAGGATGAAGCAATCCTCACACGACACGACTACACAGAGGCAACTGAGTCTACGGTGGATGTCTCGATGTTACCCGAAGTCATGCGAGTTAAGAACTTCGGTAAACGCAGTAGAACTAAGTATACCCACCTTATGGATCAGGACACGACACAGGGGAGCGGAGGTTTTGGAGGCGCCGGCTCTGTAAAAACAGGGGGTCGATCCACAGAAGGGGGTGGTTGCTTCTTGTGTGGCGGTCCGCATCTCAAGAAGGGTGAGGACATGCGTGTTGACGGGTCCTCCTATCAAACTCAATTTTTTTTGGGCAGACTGTCCTCAAAATAATCAATTGCCTCCAGGAGCCCGCAGTTCCTTGGCTTCTGGTGCTAACGCGGCCACTAGCAGATCGCGCGCATGGGGCGAGCAATCATCGTGGCGAGACCGGCCCGATGATAGAGTTGATCGTCGCCGCTCAAAGGAGGGAAAGCCAAGCCGGGAGAACTTCCCCAGTGATGATAGATCGCGGGAGAAGAATCGTGATTATTGCAATTCTGGAACTGGTCGCCGAAGATCACGGTCAAGGTCACCTTATCGCAGTCGTTTAGACCATGATAACAGACGGAGAACGCCGCCGGAAAGGGACCATGATAGTTTTAGGGAGAAAAAGCGGCGTCTGGACTAAGCCCACTTCCTTTTCTACCTGATAGCTTGGCACATCTGCCCTAATACATATACGTTATGTATGCGGGTTTCATACGTTATATTGAGTCATTGGTAGGAAAGGGTCTCCACAGGATTTCACGTGCACATATATGCTGTGATTTATTAATATCTTTGATCAGGCAGCACTTATATACTAGCACTGCCGATGCGGATGGCCAACTGATAGCAATCATCTTATCTCAATCATATCCCCGTTGATACCAATCGCACAAGGTGAGTACTGGCCAGTGAGCGATCCCAGATCATCGCACCTCGCATTAACCTGGGCTATGCTAGATGGATGTTTTTTTGAGAAACATCGCCTTTGCAGTTACCCAAGAAGATTTGACACTCGAATTCGCTAAGATACTGCACAAACCCCCGTTCCCATCCGATCCCCTTCTTAATTTTGAAGCCCAAATATTCTACAAGACACACCCGAATGGAAAGCGAGGCATCCTTGCTCTTCCCACAGTGGATGCTGGCATCACTCTCTTGCGTGCTTATGGTGACACAGGGATTGTCGTCAAAGGCCGCCAAATCCTCCTCAGCAAGAGCACGCAACCGAACAACAATGCCCGCATTTTGAGGTTGAATACTGTTCCTTGGGTTGACCCAGTGAAGCTGCGAGAGGAGAAGGAAAGGCTTCTGCAGCAATCAAGGCCTTTCCAGCTCCTTCGCTACTCATTTGGGCGCTTCACTAGGGACGGTTCTTTTTCTTCGGAATTTAGCCTTCCTGGCGTTGCCAATGTCTCCTGTGATCTAGAGCGTCGGCAAGTACGCTTCACTGTCACTCCTGATGATGGGAGTGACGACCTCCTTTGGACCTCGACGTCTATTGCGTCTTATGCACAACTGAAAATCGCAGCATTAGTGGGTAACCAGGATGATGATACCCACATTCTTTTCATTCGTGCCGATGCGCCCCCGGTGTTCTCCGTGGATAATGATGTCGGTGGAAATGGAAATACAAGCCCTCGACGCCTACAGGGCTTGACGTGTTATCATCCTATGCCTCCCGGCAGCCATAGTCTTATGCTGGTATTCAGCAACCAGTCAGATGCGGAAACATTCATGTTCGCATGTCGCAATCGCCTTCATCTGCGGTACTCTCCAGAGTCCCATGTTCGGATCCATGACCACACTTCTAATAGCAGCCCTGTCGAGGAACTGCACGAGTTTCTCTCCGAGATACCATACGAGCTTGGGTTTCAGGTGGAAAAGACCGTTGCAGATTTTGTTTTTACTCCAATGGAAATATTTTCGCTGAAGGAGGCAATTATCTCGTTGCACACTGAACATGGCTCCGATGCCCCAGAAATTTTCCAGTCCTTTGCATCCGAGCATGAAGGACACAACGCGGCTCGTAAACCACGCCGCAAACGCCGGGCACAGTGGCATACCAGCCGAGAAGATTTAACTTCTCTTCTTGGTCAAGTGATCCACGAGTTCACCAGAGAGCATCAAAGGCCCCTCCGTCTTCTAGCTCCCCCACCACAGAGCGGAGTATACCAGTCCTACCATCTGATCCTAACGCCAACACGATACATCTTAGAGGGACCTCTCCCAGACCAGTCCAACAGTGTCTTGCGCAAATACAAAAATCACGAGTGCTTCCTGCGCGTTACTTTTCAGGACGAGAATCGATCAAAGCTTCGTCGGGACTTAGAGTCTTCCATCAGCGACCTTCTGAAGGAGCGGTATCGCCCAATTCTGCTCAGAGGCTATCGCGTCGCTGGACGTCAATTCCAGTTCTTGGGATATTCGATGAGCGGTCTGCGAGATCATTCGGTGTGGTTTATGACACCGTTCACGGATGACAGCGGGACACTACTGGATGCAGACGCAATTCGGCGCAACTTGGTGAGTCGCTAATGGCCCTGGTCGATTTTGACCGAACGCAATTGTTAGGGTGATTTCTCTAAACTTGTCAACCAACCCGCTCGTTTGGCTGCAAGGTGGTCTCAAGCCTTTTCTGGCACCGATCCATCCATTACACTTCTTCCCGAAGAAATCGATTATCACTATCCCGACATAAAATCGCCCTCTGGCAACGTTATGACAGATGGGTGTAGCCCCATATCGGTCGGGCTTGCAAAGGACATATGGAGGTCTTTGCAGAAAGGCAAGAGGCGACCCGCCAAGTTACGCAATGTTCCATCCGCTTTCCAATTTCGTCTCGGTGGTGCTAAAGGCATGGTCGTCCAAGATCCGACAATCGAAGGCAACCTCGTTCGCCTTCGTCCATCGCAGATTAAATTTGATGCACAGGAGAACCTCACTTTTGACGTCCAATCGACATCAGCGAAACCAAAAGCGATGTTCCTCAATCGCCCGCTCATCGTGCTTATGGAGTTCTTGGGAGTGGACATCAGTCGAATCATTGACCTGCAGGACGACGCGATCGCCAAAGCTCAATCCGTCCGATCATCATCCCTCGATGCTTCGAAAGTTATCCAGCAACACGGACTGGGAGGATCGTTCCATCTACCATCTCTCTTCAGAAACTTGTCCTCCATTTTACGGCTGGATGTTGGAAATACGGAGGACGAGTCGTCTCAGTCACGATGGACAAGCGAGCTCATAGAAAGCTCCCTGCATTGCGCCGAAACGCAGATCTTGCGGGAGCTGAAGTATCGCGCACATATAGAAGTGCCGGATTCGTATACGTTGCTTGGTGTTTCCGATGAATGGGACTGCCTCAAGGAGGGAGAAGTTTACGCAGTCGTGTTTAATGAAAGGACGGGATTGAATGAGCAAATCCTGGGCGAGGTCGCCGTAACCCGCAGCCCGCAGATTCATCCAGGCGATCTGCAGGTTGTGCGGGCCGTACACCGTCCAGAGTTGGCGCACTTGAAGAATGTCATTGTGTTTTCATGCGAGTAAGTCCTGTTTGATGGCTCGCGACAAACGCAAGCTGACTCATATCGTCGACAGGGGTCAGCGAGCGCTTGCATCATGTCTAGGTGGGGGTGATCTTGATGGCGACGACTTCAACCTAATCCGTGATGTAAGCCCAAAATTTTAATACATTCAGCGTGTCTGAGCATCCTGCAGCCGAAATTGCTGCCAACGCATTACGGTGCACCCGGAGAGTATCAGGCATTACCCATCAAAAGGACAGAAGCCCCATGTGACATCTCCGATGTCGTGGATTTCGTATTTGACTATGTGGGTCTCATTCGGACTTTCAATGCCTGCAAAATTAATTATGAAATGTAGATCGAGGCGGACCTTGTCGGTCTCATCGCCATACATCATCTCAGGTTTTCTGATCTGGAGGATCCAGGTTGCGCAGAGTGTATGGAACTCGCGAAATTGGCCTCACACGCAGTCGATTTCCCGAAGAGCGGCACTCCTGTCAATTTTACTCAACTTCCGAGGTTCAAGTCGAGGAACCAACCCAGGCCTGATTTTCTTGCCAAAGAAGGCGCAGATCTCAACAGCGACCAGTACTACAACAGCAAAAAGCTACTCGGACAGCTCTACCGTCGTGTACCAGTGAAGAAGTGGATTCCTCAAGAATGGAACGAGGACTACTCTCCATCTGATGGAGCCTGTGTGGAGGACGCGCTTTCTCGCGTGAGCCTCCGTAATCTCGGTCTTTCAGGATTACCCAATCCAACTCAAGAGTTGATCGAGGAGATGACATATCTACTCGAAGCGTATTGTGACCAGCTGATGGTAATCGGGCAGTCGCACACGATCTTGAAAAATAAAGATAGCCACGTTTCGGAAGCGGAATTGGTGAGCGGGACCATCATGGCAAATTGGTCCGACCATCATCGTCGGCGAGACGCAGTCACTGCGATGAACTTGCAGGTAGGCTTAGTGCTTAACATGTGTCACAAGTTCCTAAACAATATTTTCAGACGCATGAGCTCGTCCGTGCGGTCAGGGCAGAACTCCTGGTCAAAGATTTGGCGACGACGGAGACAGAGACGTACGATGATGAAGAGGATGATTATGATGACTGGACCTTCCGCGAAGAATTTGATGATACGGAACAGCGAAGTATGGGAGAAACGTTCAAGCGTTCTTGGGCAGCGTGGTGCGTTGCGGAAGATACGCTCCAGGAAGAATCGAGGATGTTTGGAGCTCAGAGCTTTGGTTTAATCGCTTTGGGTAAGATGCTCGAGATTGTGAAGGCGTCTTATATGATGTGAAGGATTGAGTACCAGAAGCTGGCCTTCATACCAGTGCACTGTAACGGAATTGTATACCATAGGAAATCACAGGAACTCGTGTAAATGACCAAAGTCATTTCAAATTGAAATCGAAGTCAGACTAGTGGGGAACTGTGGCACGATTCTGGACCATGCGTCTTCATGGTATACTAAGGAACGCAATTAAAAGGACTTTGATTTTCAATGATACCTTACAATCTGAGATATGCATGACCTGATTTCGAATATGTAACCTACAATAGCAAGAAGAATTACTCAGCGAAGCGAAATAATGATTGGCAAAATATGATCAAGCGTCCAAGAGCTCCCTAGGCATGTCCACGAAAGCAGCAGCCCCGTTGCCAATCAGAGCAAGCTGCGTGAGGGACGCTGCACTCTGGCGGTATATCCTCTCCAAAGCCGGATGAGCTGGGCGCCCTTGCGACACTACAGGAAATAGTAAGAATACAACCGAGTCGACTCGAGGACAAACTCACGCAAAATCGCCTGGTTCACGTCTGTTGCAAGACTCACTCTTGCTGCCTGCCCCGCTACCTCCGCTGCATCCCCACCGGCCCCGAGCGGATCCTCGAAAGCCACAATTACGCTCGTGCGCTTAAAAATGGCGCGCATCTCCGGACGGTCTTTGTACTCTGACTGCAACTCCTGTCCATACTCAACCGCACGCTCGAGAGCGGTCCCATACTTGGCAGCAGTAACACCTGACAAACCTGAATGCGAATAAGAGGCGAACGATGCCTTACGCTTGCCTTTGATAGGGATTGCACTGCTGCTGCCGCCGAAACCATTCGTCACTCCAGTACTGGAGATATCCGCCTCATCGTCAACGTCCATCCCCATCCCGTCCGAAGTCCCTTTGTCTTCTCCATCAACCTCTACATTCATTTCTGCATCTTCTGTGCACATACGCTTCTTCAGTTCTGCCGCTTCCAATACAAGCTCCACAAATTTGCGGCATCGTAGTTTAAAAAGTACGAGTCCTGCATCCGCATCAAGCGCTCGAGGGAAATGTGTTCGTGTGTCGGACAGCGCAGTGTCGATATCACCGGTAAGCACGGCATGCACGATACGGGTACGGATCTCGATATCATCCATAGGTGCAGGTGCGATTGTAGGTGTTTGGGGCACGCCGTCCATATCCATGATCTGATCATGGTCGGACACGCGACTCGTGGAAGACGAAGGGAACGTGCTTGACAATCTCAATGTTGACATTCCTCCTCGAGCGGAACACTGCGCCTCAAACGCTCGTGCCGTACGTGCGTATCCATGATGTGACAGGTACGAAAGAACAAGATCATTGATTTGGGACTTCACGCGGGTTTCTGCGGTGGATGTCGATGCTGAAGTAAGATCTTTGTCACCATCAGCTACTGGCCACGTCCAAGGTGCAGATTGAATGCGCGACCATGTGGTGTTTCGTTGTTGAAGCACGTGGTCCTCGATGTCAAACTTGAATGGATCCTGGCCGAAGTTAGCCCGCACAGATTCTCCAGGATGGCAAAGCCCGACTGCTGGATAAATATCACAATCTTTGCCGATATTATCGAAAACAGAGCCTGTGGGAATTTAGAATAAAAGAAGTCCTCGGAGGAAAGAATGCGCACCAAGTAAAGCACCGTTCTTCGTGTAAAACGCGCGGTTCTGGCTAAAATCGATACCACAGCCAATGACATCTCCGGCTAATTAGTCCAAAGTGAGTCAAGATACTCAGGTGCATCGTGAAGTAGACGGACCTCCGAACTGGGGACCATATGGTGTGCCCGTTTTCTCAGCCGCAAACGACGACCCGTCATCACCGTGATATCCCCACGAGTTCTTCTCCCACCCCGGTAGGCGAACCAATTTAAAGTCGCGACTCACAAGACTACAAAGGAGTGTCAGCGAAATTAATTTCAAATCATCAAATTTTAATCGGACCCAACGCTAATATGCCTGAATTTGCGTTTGAGTACATAGACATCAGAAATTCCGTACATAAAGCACTCACCCCTTGTTGCTGTTTGCCTTGCTGGTGACCTCAACCTCGTAGTAGTATATGCCGCAGGCAGGAGGAATAGGGAAGATCGTACGCGCAGCTGCGGCATCTTTGTCGGAGTTGCTTGGGGACCCTATTTCAATGAGTGTAACGTGTTTGGTAATTCTACTGCCTTAGCATGACTGACCTTGATAGGTGAGATCCCTTCCATCTGCGGAAACACTTAACATAGAACTTCGATATTCCTCACTCCACCTAGTTGGGAGGCGCAGGAGGGCGGACGACATGAAAGGATTATTCTCTTGCTGTTGTCGGGAGTACATTTCGCCAGGGGGACTAGTGTCTTCTTCATCGCTATCAAAGTTGGGAGATCTCTGTGGCCTCCTCCTTCCGCCAGCATACTCAGTACGGACAGCCGCAAGGTCAGGTTTCAGTGACGAGGGAAGTTGAGAAGGAGTGTCTGTCTGTAAAAGATGCCGCAGCGCAGAATGGTCAAGGTATGCCGGGCGAGGAAAGGGTACTGAGTCTGCAGGGAACGGGCCCGCGCTCGAGTGTGCCATAGCTGGTCTTTGAGCACTGGGCGCCCTAACACCGGTTGCACTGGGCCGACGAACACGAGAAGGTGGAGAGGTTGGACAAGTGGTGTCGACTCTAATTACGCGTGGTTCATAGTATGCGTGCACTGGTGTGGCTCCTGTGCCTGAAAGGAGTGCAGAACTTGGCTGTGTGAATGATCGAGCTGTCGAACGCATTGGAGGGCTGGATGCCACAGCCATAGAGCTGGATCCACGGATACTACTGATACCTGTAGTAGGACTACGTTGCGGCCATCCCGGGTTCACAAGGCGAGGACGAGACTGTGGGGAAGGTGCAAAGGGGATTGAGATAACTGACTCGATATTCCGAACGGGTGAAATACCTCCCCGTGGTGGAACGGGGATGCTAGATGACCTCGCGGGTCTACTGCTCATCTTGGAGTATAGATAACGTTCCTAGCACAAATGTAGGAACTGTGTACTTAGTGAACGGGACTGGGCTAGGCTAGAGCTTTGTATCTGATAACCTGTATCAGCAACGTAGCAACAAGCGAATTGGAGAAACACACATATGGTGGGCGTTGACAACAGAAAATGGTTAGAAGTTATTCGTTCGCAAGCTGGCCTACTTATAGGCACTCGAGCTGGACCATCGTCACCGACTCGCTCTAGTGCATCAAAGGTCACATTGTGGGGAGCGTCACAATGACGTGACATGTAGCTACCCTCGTGACCACCTCCCTGTCACACGGGCTACGCGTCCTTACTATACACACTTGCTTTTAGACCACTACCATGGTGCGCGTTCATATCGTTCGGTTGGCAGATCAAACTAATCTAGTCATATAGGAACCTTCGTACCGCATTATTCCACCTTCACAAATCAAAACTGCATCCATAAGTGATACTGCAGGTAGTCTAGGCCTCCATGACACCCTCGGTATGGAGTCCGTAGCATCGCAACTGAGACGAGAGGGGGCGAGTTCGAGGATCGTATTGCAAAGGTGTGCTCGAATTCTGTTGTACAATGCGTCTCTTTCTGACGGCGTCGATAGTGGGAAGAGACGCAGGACAACGCGAGGCTACACATGTTGGCCAATCTGTACGGTCCCAGTGCACCTATGAGGTTACTTATGGAACGCCAGATTGTGTCCGCTGTGAGTATGGACGTGTATACTAAATATATGCAAATTGAATTCCTTTCAGAGCCCTCATATGCCTGGCATGCCACAGTCAAACATACATCTTGACATCCTGATGGGTCGGGATGAGACTCTAGACTCAACCGACTTCTTCCTCGGTGCGTAATTTGCCAGATACACAAGTGATGTGATTTGACTAGGTGTCCTATAGGCATGGAAAGTGGTCCAGCGTTAAGCATTCACAACGATATGGAAAAGAAACTCCGACTGTAATCTTAGACTGTTGTAATACCTGTTTTCCCGTAATGTCATAACTTCAATGACTTGTAAGGACAGCGCGCGGGTGATGTCAATATGAAAGGTGAGTGAGGAGCTCAGATGAATGCTGTCATCTATGCATTGAATATACGTGAGGTGCGTATGATAGGGATACACTGAATGTGGTGTGTAAATAACAGTAATACTAACAGATCTAAAGCACGGAAGAGTATGTTTGGTAGTAATAGATATGCTCCGTGTGCAATACTATGCAACAGTGAATGACTCTCCGCATCCACATGCATCCTTGATATTAGGATTGTTAAAAACGAATTTGGAGCTACAGGAACCAATCACGTAAGTTTGGCAGTGAAGCATCGCCTAAAACAGTGAACGACGTACCTTAGCGCATCCTCTTTCCAGTCCATCTCACTACCTATTATTGAGAAAAGTGCCTTGCTGTCTATGAGAACCTTAACCCCATCTTGCTGTACCACCTCGTCGAACTTTTCCGGCTTCTCCACATAGTCAAGGTGGTAAGACAGGCCAGCACAACCCTTGTTTCGCACACTTATACGAATTAATTGTGGTGTCGGGCTATTAAGCAAGCCACGCAGCCGCTGTATCGCAGTCGGTGTCTGCAATGAGTGATAAATCTTATTGGTGCAGATAGAATCCATCGTCAGCACATACCATACTTAATACCGCCTTGGTGGACCGAATAGTTGGCCGCGGTCGCTCTGCCTTTGGCACAGGTGGTGGGCGAGCAGCTACCTGCGGAGAAGCTGGTTCGGATGATAGCAAATTTGCAGTGGGTACGACAACAGGTGGTGAATCTTTGAGAGGCTGCTTGGCATTGGAGCTGGAATGCGCTTCCGGTGGTCTCTGAGGTTGAGAGCTTAAGGCAGACATCATCGCACGACGATGAGTGGAATAGATGGCGGATGCGCGTATTGAGTGGACGACATTGTGTGCTGAACACAGACGACCTAGCGAAGACAGCATCATGGACGGTTGGGATGAAGAAGGGCAGTCACATCGGAGCACAAGATCTTCCTGTGCTTGGTCATCTTACATATAGCCAATCACAACACCCCAATTTTACTTTCACCAATTGTTGCACGTAAGTTATCCGACTGGTCGATCAAACGTTTCAACGTTCAACGTTAATGCCGAATTCGCCCCCATTTTCCGTGTCCTTAGTCAAAGTTCTGGTTACGGTTCTCATCGCTATATGAAAAAGGTATCGCACGCTTACTGCAACTTATAGTTAAATGATGTCTCGTTATCAAAGTTGTGCCCTGGGGTACTGCATTTTTTCAAGATTGGCAAGTGGGGCGAGAAGCACGACCGACTCAGTGCAAATGCGAGCCTGGCGCCTCAACATGAGGGCTTGGTAGCATATTCCAACAAACAGGCACACATTCGACGCCAGCTCGCGTCGCACTTTAGACTGCTTGGCCGACCCGCTTACCTTCCGCAGCAGTCCCCTCTGCGGAGAATAGGAATATGTATGCGGACAGCCAGTGTACTCGGAAGCATAGCCTACTAGGGAGACAGCTCTGGTGATGAGCGTGTTCTGTTGATGCACTATGGACAAGCTAACAAACATTGTCAATGTAACACAGTTGCGTGGTATATAACAGACTCAACGCATTGCGGCTCCCATAGGAACTTGTGAGTTTATCCTCAGGCCACATTACCATGCTTGCTCGAAACACGCTGTTTACAGCGCCTTGCGCTGCTCAACGTAGCAACACGGAGCTTATAATTTATTCTCGTGACGCTGGCCAATGTGTTCAGATTGCATAGTACGTATTTTGTCTCTGTTTCTCTGCACGGATACCCACTCGTAGTCTTCTAGTCCAGTCACCAGAGGCTTCCGCATCATGCCAAGTGGAATCGCAGCATACTTGATGCGCCGGCGCTGTTTCTGGGAATGTTTTTGTGGCTTCGCGCACGAACATCCCACTCCAGTACAATTTGTCACTTCGGCAATTGGCCATACACAGGTTGTTTGTCACTTTCAAGACCACTGCTGCAGATTTTCCAGTATGTTTATCATTTTTGCTGTTTCTTACTACTTGCTTCATTATTTTCAGTCAACCTTAACAAAACACGACATACGGCGCTGCTCGAATCATCGTATGGTGACTTCCCAACACAAGGTAATTTTTCATTCGACGTAGAAGGCATGAATCTCATCCTTCCCTAATTCAAGGAGATATTCCCAATATTGTGCTATTACTTACCGCATTTCGAGCTATTAGTGCCAGTCTACCATCTGGCCATGCTGAGATCGCGTCATACTTCGTTAATTATCTTGGTTCACACTCGTCGATGCACTCGCGGCCATCTATCATAAATCAAAGCCTATCGCCCTCCTTCATCCGTGAAGTGGCGGGAAATCGCTGTCGTTCTAGTACGAAAACTCTAAACCCAAGACCAAAAGATATACTACTTGGTCGTGCACGACAACTAATTAAATATGACACCGATGCGCCGCCGCACACACATTTCTCAATCTCGAAAGTTGAGCAAGGACATATGCATGCACTCGCAGCCGGCATAGGTATCAGTCGTTATGATGCGATGGGACTTACTGAAGAATGTGACGGCTGTGGTAAGTGGTTTATGGCGAGCGCTTTGAGAGGGCACATTGTGAGGGGATGCAACGAAAGGTAGTGCCACATACGCTGGGTTATATTTATCGAGGTCCTTTGTGAAGTACAGCATAGTTTGATGTACTTTGTGGGCGCTCTTGTGCAGTTGTGTGAGTAGTGAGAACGAGAGCTTGGTCGGTTTTTCGGGCAGAAGCCCCGAAGGGGTAAGTCGGCCCCTGGACCAATAGTGACCCCAACCTATGCAAAAGTGAGCCGAGGTGAGCGGAGAGCGTGCGGGCAATCTCGCAGCCAGTAGGTGCGGGTGCCGACCACCTGTCCCCCAGTCACTAGTAGGAATGTGACTATGTAGCTAAGGAACTCGAGTATGAGTATAGTAGAAAGTTGTAATGTAGGCTGACAAGGAAAGAGAGTGTTGGGTGGGGAAAAGAAAATTCGAAAGGCGGCAGACTGCAGATAGGGCGCCGGAGCTTGCTAGAGTGTAACTTGTGTGCAGCTGTGTGCTGTGTGGTAGGCGGAGAAGAGAAGCCCTATGCTGCACAGCCGCTGCACTTATTCTAACCCTAAACTCGTACCTCGCTTCAGGGTGGACAGTATAGTATTTCCAATTGTTCGAAGTTCGGGAGCAATTAAGGGAACTGAACCAACCAGCTCAGAGTCAGAACAAGGTGCTCGCCCGATGCTAACAGCATGTTGGCTTCAAAGCTTTAGAAATTAGGCTGCTCAGTATGTATCATATTATTAGAATCTGGCTTTATCCATATTCATGCCTTCGAAGAACACCGTTGTAAATTATTTATATTATCGCTGAAGGGACGATCTGCTTATTGGCCAACGGAACCGGTGAGCCTAACTTTATTCTTGCATGCTTCCCTTACAAATGTGATGCCAACGCACCCACCAATCAAGCAATATGAGTTGTAACTTTGGATACAAATGCCGGACGACCGTGAGGTGTCCTCATCATGATGCCTAGAACAGTAAAGACTTCATCGGTTGTTTTGAAATTAGAAACAACAATAAGATCTGCTAAGGGCAAATTCACTCATGGATGTGAGATAATGACGAAGCAATAACAGCCCCGACTTATTCCGGTCGGCATCGGGAGGATACACCGATGCGATAATCAATAATTCAATTGTTGTCAGCGGTTGCGGCAAAGGTAAGTGTCTCAACGCGCCCCTTTCCCTTGCACTCCTTCTGTAACAGTTCGTTGATCGCGCGGATTTGCGAGGGCTCAATAAGCATAATCTAGACAACCTCGTCAAAGTCTCCTGACAAGGCAATGAAAAATACATACGGTTTCCCAAGTTTCCCCCTTGTCTTCTTTCTCGACCGTCTCAGCCAATGCACGGAGCTGTTCCTGCAAACGCTCTCCTTCTGCGGCCGGGAGAACGACACGCACCCGCATCCTCGCACGTTGAATCGGTAGTGTTGAGTGACCCTGGATGAGTCGCAGTGTTTCTGCTACCTGTCATTCCTTGATGAGAACGTGGCGAACGATGTCAACGAACGATCACCCACTTGACTCTTGGCATTCTTCCCCGCTTTCACACTCACACCTGCTTCAGCCATAGCCTTTTCGATCATTCCGACAGGATATGGACGTTGAGTGGCCGGATCGACGCATTTCTCAGCGACTATTGTAGCGATCTCCTTGCGGAGGGTAGCAAGATCGTGTTCACGTTCTTTCTCTGCCACTTGAACTTCGCCTTTCTTTAAGATCTACAGCACCGGTAAGCAGGGGACCAAGATCGCTGAAAAGGACAGACCTCTTTCACTACATTATCTACCGTCGAGGTACCAAACGCTTTTTGGAGATCGTTAGACTTGGCAACCTCGCCTTTGGATACATTCATGAAGACGTTTGAAATTTGGAGGACGTCATCTAAACTCGTCTCACTGCGCAAGGATCTTGCGTTAGCCACGGAGCTAACATATGGATATGATCACATACACTCCGTTTCTCCATTCCTGTACCTTATTTTTGTAGCAGGCAATCTAAAGCTAGACCATTAGACGATGTTAGTATATTGGATATCTACACTGTACCTCAAACCGTTTACCACCCTTCTTCAAGCGTACGATAGATACATTTGTGAGCCTGTGCTTCACCTTGCGTCAGCGCAAAACCCCAAGACATTGTCAGCGCAACACTGACTTTATTTGATTTGATGGTTGCTGGATAGGCATCTCGATTCAATGATACAGTATGTTTCAATGTGTATGTGATAGGGTGATGATGATGGTGATTACAGGCAGAATGCGTGACAGGCTAGTAAATGAATGACACATTGTATCCGTTTGTTTGTTCAGCTTCGGCATTGTCACGCCCGTCACCGGTCAGTGTTTGGGACAAGATTGGGCGGTGCACCACAACACAACCCACCGCAGTACTTCAAACCGCCCTCAATCATTTGGAAGACTCTTCGTCTGTTTAAAAACGAACTTCTTAGCCGCATCAGGACAATCCACGAGCCTGATAATAGCCCTGTCATCACTGCAAGATGAAAGGGTTCACCAAAGCCATCAAGCGGTAAGCTCATCCTTTTTCGGTTTTATGCTAACAATTGGTGGCGTTTGTCACATCTTCTGCCTGAGCATCGGCGTGGAGGGAGATGACTCACGATCGTCCACAGAACACCTCACCTTGTCACATCTAAAGTCGGCTTCGCGAAGAGTGAGATCTAATCTTTACGATCAACCACTCACTCAAACTATCTGCTATCCGTCAGAGTCTTCTGATCCCGAATTCGACGACTATAATCGCCATTTCATCAGCCTCGAGCAAGCCACAGAGAAGTTGCTTAAAGATACCAGGGCATTCTCGGAATCTGTTATATGTGTGTCAATGATGTCCGTCTCATCTATTCCCTCATCCTCACGCATACTTTCAGCCCTCTTCACTTCTTCTGCGGGTTTCGCCAACCATTTCAATTTTATATTCTCTCCGTTGGCTGCCGAGTATAACTTGCAAGGCAAGCATCCCTCCTGCGAGGCAACCATCACAAACACTCCTCCGTACTCAACTGCTCTCGACGAACTTCGTTCTGCGATCTCTCCTGAACTCGAGCTCATCGAGTCACGAATTGTTGCGCCTGTGAAAGAGTTCCAGGGTGTCCTCAAGCTGATCAGGAAGAGCATCACTAAACGCGATCATAAGCTGGTGGATTATGATCGGTTCAATAATTCACTTACTAAATTGAGGGACAAGAAAGAGAAGAGTTTAAGTGATGAGAAGAATTTGTTCAAGGTAGGTGCCGGAGCGTCTTCCTGTCAGCGACACGTTTGACGTTTGTATGATCAGCTTGAGCAAGACTTCGAGATTGCCACAAATGAGTATGATTACATTAACAACGCGCTCAAGACAGATCTCCCGCGGTTCATGCAACTTGCAACTCATTTCATCGACCCTCTTTTTCATTCATTCTATTATATGCAGTATGTCTTTGGCTGTCGGAACCACCAGCTTTTTCAAGTGTTTTACAATTCGACAGGCTTAACGTTTATTATCTTTTCCTTGAGAAAATGAATTCATTCGCGGAGGGTCGATACGACGTTACCAACGCCCCTGGTGCTCAAATCCAGGCTGACTATGAAGAAAAGCGAACAGATGCATGGAGTCAAATTGAGGATCTCGGCGTCACCAAGCGCATTATATCGACCTGTACGCTCAGCTCTCACCTGTCATCTTTTTCACTCACAATTTTTCACTCCCAGCGAAATTTGTGCAAGCTAATCGCACCACTGGCGGCAATTCGTTGACTGTTAGCTCTTCCATCGGTCGCTCACCCAGCGTCACAAGTGCTGGCAGTGGGAGCAGCCGCTCAATGCCACCATCCCGAGCAGCGCCTACATCTTCCTTTATCAAGAAGGCTCCGCCACCGCCGCCAGGCCAGACACCTGCACCTCCTCCCCCGTACACTGCCGCTTCAAATGATGTGGGAGCTACAAGTACAGCTGCAACAAAGAGGCCGCCTCCACCTCCACCGCTGAAACCCAAACCAAAGCCAGAGCCAGCAGTAGAGTATGTTACAGCCTTGTATGATTTCGATGCCCAGGTATGTATCCATTTGATCTCTTGAATGGATGTTTACATACCTCTTCATCTCAGGCTGAAGGAGATCTTTCTTTTAAAACCGGTGACCGCATCGAAATTGTGACCAAGACAGAGAGTCAAGAAGATTGGTGGACAGGTCGTCTTAATGGCGACCAAGGTGTATTCCCAGGCAACTACGTACAGTGATGTGAAGACAGATATTTGACAGTTGAGTATTAATTGAGTAGTAGCTTACATTTTTGGGACATTTCTGCTAGGGACAGCCGCGTCAGGCATCTTGCCTATTGTCGCACAGTCAAAGGGGCGTCACGGATTACATGAGACCTTGATGAGACCTACCGTCTGCTTTGTACTGACGGTCTTTCCCGTTACCGTAGGTTACCCCTTGACTGCATTTCTGGCAGGGTCTTATCCTTTAAGCAACCGGGCTCCAGTCAATCGTTGCTCCGATTTTCAAGGAGATATTTCTGGCTTGCTAGATGGGCTGCATTGCCAAGAATGCTCTCACCTGCTGATCCAACGTGTCACATGCGGAAGGAACTTGAACATTACAACTGCATTAATGGCGAGATTCAGAGACTGCACATACAAACTAAGGGTTCGGTTGCGAACTTCTGACCTTATTCGATATGCAATTGGCCGGTGCTTTGGATTTCTGCAATTGCTACAGTTTTGAGTTTCTAGATTTTAGATCTAAGTTACTTGCTTTCTTCTTTTATCTCACGTGATCGCACAGCGTTACTCTACATGACTTTGCTCGACAAGGTGACGTTTAAGGGGCTTATGCCCACCATGCCATTGTTGCTGTGGCCGAGAATTGCCGGTATATGCGACAACGGAGGACAATAGTCGTGCAAGGCAATGCATCTAGGAATAAGTCGTCGGCTACGTTCCGCGTCATGAGCTGCTCACCATGTGGACAGTGGTACCAGTGATATTCTAGCAATGGCAAGGTGGCCGTCGCAACGTCGAATGTTGGGGGACTAGTACTGCCAGTTGGTGTGGAGTAACACCGTGACAAGGCACGTGCGATGACATCAATACCCTCCCGACGTCATAACCTGGTTTGTTCATAAACGAATTACCGTACGGACACTCCATTCACCAGACCATCATGTTTCGCAACATTATCGCCTCCAACACGCGCGTTTGTACTGTCTCATATACCCGTTCTATCCATGCCACGCCCGCCGCTGGCACGGTCGCCGAGAAAGCGTCCGAGGTAGCTGACAAGGTATATCACCGCCCGCCTGTTTGTCCACACAAGCTTATTTGTTTCAAGGTCAATAAGAAAGTTGGTCAAGGTCTTGCATCGGCCATTGAGACGGGCGAGAAAGCAGCGGGGAAAACCAAGGAGACACTCGGCAAGTAAATGTTCAACGGCGTAGAATCCGTCTATAATGGTCCTGTACTAGATTCAACAGCTGCTTCGGCAAAGCAGAAAACAGAACACGCAAAGAAAACTACCCAGAAAACCACGGAGCAGGCCAAGCATAAGGCCAATCAGGTGAACCATCACTGCAGGACAAACGGGTTATCAGTTGCTAATCTCCGTTCAGGCTGCTGCTGGCGTGCGAGAAACTAAAGACGACGTGAAGGGTAGAGCGGCAAAGTAACCACTCCACCGCTGCCCAAACGCTGTTCCGTACACATCATCAGCACGTAGCTAAGTTAGGTTAAACATTATTTACACCTTAATGATATCTCTACATGAGACCATGGCACGTCCACCAGAGTGGTCGTCCACCCCACCTAGTAATATCAGTATGATGCAATGTTATGAATTATGGATTAATGGCTCAGGTCTGCAAACACGGTAGTAGAGTCTCAAGTTTCAGCGCTCAGCGACAGAAGAAAACATTAGTTCATCTGCATTGTGAAAGCATTTGAATACCTACTAATTTGGAATTCTAGTGTGACTACTTCTTCACATCCGGCATCCATCAAAATGCAGCGGTCTTGTGAAGAGACCCAAAGATCACCGGTCGGTCAACGTCAGCGATAGCCTTGGGAAGTCTTTAGTTTGAAATTTGTAAAGCTTGAAGTGTGACGCGTCGCATAACTTGAGTAGAAGCGACCAGTTCACAGTATCATGCGAAAGTCGGCACTCCAATCGCAAGGCGCGTTACAACTTTAGGTTCAGTCTGGAGGTGTAGGGAGTCCCAGTAGTACTAGGTGACTAGGGCAACCTGCCAAGGGTGACAAGATTAGAACCAAGTGGTAGTAAGTGTGACGGTCGCCGTTGAACCCACGATTTGACAACGGTGTTTTAATGGTGTTCGCGCCTTTGACATATTGCAGCGGCGCGCGCGGACTTGCGCACAGCGCGCAACATATATGCCAGTGGTATAGACGTCGCCTACATAGTATTTTGTTGGCCGGTCAAGTAGTCCATTTTCCGTGTGCGTGTGCCTAAACAAGTCCATATTCGTCATGAACGTTTTCAGTGGATCGACCTCTTCTAATCACACCACAACTAGGACCAACCACATTCCTCGCAAACTTCGCACAAAATTGCTAAAAAATACCAATGGCCCACTCAGTTGCAGTTGGAAGGAAGTACTTACTATTCATCGTCGCTTTCAAAGTTGGTTTTGAACAAACTGCAGAACCTTCGGGTGAGAAAATCATGTTCGTTCTGTGTACTGAGGGCGGCGTACCAGGGACAAGTGAACACCGGTCGCAGATAGGTTCCCTCGGATTATCCCAAAGAAAAGGTTCATAAAATTTTTAGGACTCTCAGGTGCTTATAATTAACTCAAACGCCGTACCCCAACTAAAAGTCTTCGAACCCTCGACCAAACACAGCTCATACTACTCACGGGAGCTCATACTCGTGGAAAATTGGAAGTGAAGGACTAGCAAGAAATTTAGCAAGCCGCGAGTTCAACCACTGAGGGCCAGAGGGACCTCACTCATAGTAACAATCCCGTTCAATGCAGCGATAATACAACAACTTCAATTTGCGAAGAAAAGGCTGTCATCTTTCTATGGTCTCTGCGGCAATCTGGGATCCATAGATCAGGAAATTTCCGTCGGTTATTATTCAGAGATTCATTCAGATCGATTCGCGAGAGCTGGATTCTCATTCCATCAGGAACGGTGCATGCTTGATACTCGAACTTAATTTCATTGATGTGGAATTGTTGTCTCGAAAACCGCCACACAACATGCTCATGGTCGCTTGGTACCAATCACACCACTGTCGCTTGCCCCTGCTGAGCTACACTGCCTCAGGATGATACCGATATGATCCTGCCCAGTCTCCCGTGACGCCTTGATCCTCCTGTGCTTTGATAATGAGTTGTTGAGTACCGGACATATTTGTTCCCAAGGTGTCACTGCCCTGATGGCGGTACTGACACCCTTTCAGCTTGTTTTATCTTATGTTTCGGGAATGGCTAGTGGGGTAGTCCTAAGTGCCAGATCTCAGCTCTCCAGGCAACCTCCGGAGGTGGAAAAGGCCTGGGGCCTCTAAGGGCCCCGTCCGTAGGCGGTCAATCTATCCAGGTTCCTATGATCCCACCGCCTTCAGTGTCCAGAGCTCTGGTACGACACACAAAAATAAACAAAAAGTCCGGGGGAGTGATATCTATCTGATTTCGGTAAGCTATACTCAAGCCCACCGAGATAGACGATGTACGCATTTATCTCTCGGTACCGATTGTGAGCTTGCTGGAAACTGAATGCTCGGTTTTGTGCGTTTCAGTGAACCGGTAGTGTGGGTTGCGGGGAAGCTTGGGAGAATTATACCAAAGGCCGCCCTGGTAACACTGGTAGGTTCGGCTCGGCTCCGTCCTTGGTGATGGCCTGTGTGGCTTGGCGGGAGCACTAAAGGCGTGATTCGGAAACAAAGTAACTTTGGTAACTCTTGGTCGTCGTGATGCCAAGGCTAGAGGGACAAAGAAGCACCTGTAAGATGGTTTGAACCCACTCTCGAGAACTTAGGGGGCCCGGACAGCAAGTACACAGCACCTGCCTACAAGGAGGATCACCAAGGGACTGTTGTTCTCCCAGATTTGCACGAAGCAGAGATATCAATATCATGATACCCCAAGGCACATATTACACACCGAAATGAAATCCAACACACTAAGCAACATCAACAGTTCTATGAGTCAGGTTGAGTGGCGGGCCAATCATTTCGACATCATCTGAACGACCCGCGGAATTGCTCATCGGTGCGGGGCTAGGGGCAGGTTCTGGATAGGAACGGAGGCGTTTGATGCATTAAATATCAGGGGCGCCGGACTAATTGGTGATTTTCTTACCCCACTACATTGTGATCTGCCAAGCAGCGCCAGCAAATACCTACCTTTAGTTCGGCAAAAGCCTTCGCTCTCCACGGTTTTGGTATTGTCCCCATCCCGAATCAGGAGGGTACTAGTAGGCTTGACAGCAGTAAAAACACATATAGTACTAAGTAACAGCGCGATTTGGATGAAATCACTCACATATATATATATTCACAGAGGGAGCTCTGACAAGGAGGTTCACAGAATCCATTCGGAAAAACTACGGCTATGTGGTGTGGTGGAGTAGGGTTTAAGTCAGAGATATCCTCTAGTCACGTCAGCTATATACAAATATTAATGCGAATTTATTATGGTGATCAGTAACAGCGAAAGTCGAAGTTCTACCAGGATACCAATATTTAATAGCCCCACGCAATACAACCTAATACAACGCTGGGCCAGTGATATTTAATGATGAAATCATTTGACTCTCAAGTCACGCAATTGCGCACCAATCGCGGTGGCAATATTAATATCAATTACATCAAGTGCAACATCGCAGCTATCCTACTAGAGTCGTGTACCTATATATATGTGGTACAGGCAACGGGTCCCGCGCCAGTTGGTAAGCATTAGTACTTCGGTGGTAATTATAACCCTACTCGACAACAGTTTATTCGCTGTATAAACGACAAGCGGAGAAAAATAAACTGTCAGAGTTGTTGAGTGACAGTTCATTTGCCAGTTTGTTTCATTTGTAAAGTCGTCGGCAAGATATCGGAGTAAACTGAGTGTGATTGTATGCCGAGCCGCCGAGGTACAAAGATGACAAGAAAAAACATACCGATATCGAGCATGAGTGACTGTTGGAACGGAGATGGACAGCAGAAGCTCTCAAGATCTCACTCGCCAAGAGGTTTGTTGTGAATTCTCTCATGCTACTCCGTTGATGTTGTCGATGCACTGAGTTACCGCGTATACTGAGTTTTCCTTCGCGGCAAGTCGGCTTGTGTTTCACTCTCCGCGACAGGAACAGCACGCGAACCTTACTTGATATCCCTGCACGCTCAAAAAAATGAACTGGCTGTTATTGAGTAGGGTTGATATCTAGACTAGACGAGGTTAAAACTGCGGCGAATAAGAGGGAATAAGTGACCTGAAAATACTAATATGAGAGACAAGATTGGAATCGACCCCAAATTGACGCTTGCCTAAAGTTGCCTGACCGAGGTCCAGGTATATATCATTAGACAGTGGATCATTCAAGTGGCGGGTGACATCAAAGGTACATACTAATCTGATTCGACGGGTGCTTGTACTAGATATCAAAAAATAGTGCATGATGTCTTAGATCTGAAGAACAGCCCATATTTACTTTTCATGACAAAAGGTGTGAGCGGAAACTAAACTTGAGCATAAACGTGACTTTTTGATTATACTACGAATGTTAATTATATGCACAAGTACGACTAGTCAGCCTCCTCGGAATGTATCATTCTGGACACACGGTCTGTCTAATGTCCATCCAGGCCATGGAGATAGGCTGTTCCCCGCGCTTAGAATGGACATGCCGAGCTTGACTACGATCGATTGCAAAAGCCGCGCTCAGCCCGGGCCAATGTCGCGGAACTTGAACAAAATGCTGCCTCCTAGATCTTTGCGAGGCCCTTAGATCCGAACGAAGCATTCTAATGCGGAATCCCGTTCATTAACGTGGTGCCTGTCTAGACGTGGTATAAAAGAATGCTGTCAAATCCTTGCTACTCTAACAGTGCTAGTCAACATCCTCCGCTAAACACTTCAAACACTTCAAACACATTTGTGTTCTACACTTCTTCTGAAACATGCCTTTCTTGAAGAGACTATCCATAAGCAGCAAGGTACGTGGTTCAGAAATTCCCCGAAGTATGGCCACCAATGACATTCTGCCCATTTACCAGCTCTCTCGTCGCAGTAGCTCCCACAGTTCCAAGTCCACCCGTGACTCAATTCAGGGACATCCATCACCCATGGACATCACATACGCTCTCGTACGTTTTGTAGTCGCTCTTCACTTATCATTTTTGACGAGTGCATCAGGCGTTTTCTCCCTCTCCTTCACCGCCTTCCTACCCAACCTTTGAGGGGACCCCTGCTG